TCTTTATTGTACATCTGGCTCTGCCTTCATTTCGAGCATATAACCTGTCTAACTTTTCCACGAAGTAAACGTTTTGGTAAATTGATAGCATTAGTCGCCATGTTGAGGTTAAAATGGATAATGAAATATCTATAATTATTTCATTTTTTCCCGTTTTTGGTACAAAATGTACCAGAGCCAGATACATTAGCATGTGTGTTTTAATCGTGGAAAAGGAAATTTTATTCTATGCAATTAATACGAAGTAATTAGTAACCAACAAATATGATATTTTTGTCGATAAAACAGACGGCTTAAGCATCCTCTTAAACACAATTAATTTACGTATTTCTTATTTTTTGTTTCGTCTCGTATAAGACACGCGGTGTCAACCTGTTCGGAACGGATTTCGCGGTTATATCGCTATTTATATTTATACTTATATTTATATTAAGGTTAAATTTTAATATGTTGCTGCAAATTCCTTTTTATGCGCAGCACGTGCGGCGGAAGCGGTTTTGAATCATGTGACATTTTGCTGCTGCTGCTGCGTGCTGCGTATTTAGAACATATGCTACATAAAAAAATTAAATTTAATAAATGAATTGAATTTAATAAATTTACACCTCTATAGTTTTCTGACGTCCTCCACTAAATCTGTAATAAATACCAGTTCCTGTTCCTTATGCACAGCATCACCGCTATAACTAAATGACTCGATCCATCCTAAAGTATTTATTTCTGCCATTTCGTCTAAAATATTAAATTAATATAATTGGTGTTGCATAAAAGAAGGAAGATATATTTAAATAATTTAATAATGATTTAGATAAAACCAATTAATTTGATTTATTAAATTTTTAAGAATGTTTAATACGTACAATAGTAGCAAAAAGTTAAAGGACTGATTTTTACGCGTATGCTCTTCTCATATAGTTTGAGTAATAAGGATTGTGCAGAATGTTATCATTTATTCAGAACTAGAGCACAGAAATGCTTCTGTTGCTTTTTTCCTTATAGAATTTTCGAATTCTATGGCCAAATCTAACCAAAAAATTCAAATTAAAATCCTTATAACTTTGGATTGCTTCAGTGAATCGACTCCGGCTTGATTCTGTCCCTCGGAAATTTTCACAAACTCTGAAGTGATCACTTTTCTATATTAATGTTTATAGTCCATGCATTGCAGAATGTTATTATTTATTTAGAACTAGAGCGCAGAAATGCTTCTGTTGTTTTTTTCCTGAGAATTTTTGAATTCTATGGTCAAATTTAACCAAAAAATTCAAATTAAAATCCTTATAACTTTGGATTGCTTCAGTGAATCGAATGCTCCGGCTTTTGTCTTAAGTCTTTCAACATATATAAGAACAATCTGTAAAATTTTTGTTAAATTCTCATTAATTTAAAAATTCTGTAGGTATAGAATATAAAAATTGTATACCTAAGAATTTTTAATACCTAAGAATTGTATACCTAGAATTTTTAAAATAATGGGAATTTAACAAAAATTTTACAGATTGTTCTTATATATGTTGAAAGACTTAAGACAAAAGCCGGAGTCGATTCACTGAAGCAATCCAAAGTTATAAGGATTTTAATTGAATTTTTGGTTAGATTTGGCCATAGAATTCGAAAATTCTCAGGAAAAAAGCAACAGAAGCATTTCTGCGCTCTAGTTCTGAATAAATGATAACATTCTGCACAATCCTTATTACTCAAACTATATGAGAAGAGCATATTCGTCAAAATCAGTCCTTTAACTTTTTGCTACTATTGTAGCCTGTAGGTACCAAACATTCTAAGGCTCCCTAAGGTTACGTACGAAAAGGCACCTTGAAAGTTGGCGCCAACTCTCGCGGCGGTCGTCTTCGAAAATTTGAAATCCGCGAGCCGATTGGCTGTCTCCTGTCGCGCCGCGCCGCATGGCGCTGCGATCTCGTCGGCAGTCGGCACATGCTCGCGCAATCAGCGCAATTGCTCCACTAGCCTGCTCCACCGACCCTCCCGCGATCGATGGTTATGTATGTACGTACGCGCGGTTATGCGTCGCGGATGACGATAATTACAATTTCCTCGCGTAATTGGTTTCACGACGATCATTAGGTATGCGCTGACCTCGAGCAGAGAGGCACTTCTCGCACGCGTGATTCGTTTTTATCGACGGCGAGAACGGAAAAAAACTCCGGTGGCGCGAGCCACCGTGTTACGCAGCAATATCGTCACGAGTCATCCGCGGTTATCTGGCACGACACGACGGGACAGGTCCGAGGGGATCGTAAATGAGACCGAATGAACTGATCGCGCTCCGTACCGAGGGATTCGTAACAGCGTCGCGAGCGAACGATGTACACGTGGAAGCTGACCGGTCATGCTCTCAGAAGGATCAACACCGGCTGTTACGGCTGCGGTGACGGCGGTAGGTTAGCGCTCGTTCTGCAACACTGCGGCGGCCCGAGGACGCAGGGTCGCGGCAAATTCGGCAGCTACCGCAGGAGGATAAGCTCGTGGTTTCGGGAGCAGGGCACGCAGGTGGCCCAGGCCTGCAAGAGGCAGTTCGAGTTCGTGGCGGCCCAGCGGATCAGGCGGTACATACAGATATTCCACCTCTACACGAGGATATGGGACGAGGTGGCACTGAGGGAGTTCATGCGCCTGTGGAGGCTCAGACTCGCTAGAAACGCCAAGAACTTCCTGATAAGCGCGGCCGGCGTGAGCGTGTACAACTGGGATCGCGACAGGATAAGCGACGAAGAGATTAATAGGTAAGGTAAACGTATCAGTGACTGAACGTGTATCTATAGCTGAACAAGTACACAAAAATTTATTTTTAAATGTTTTTTTTTGTATTATAATTTAATTGTAATCTTTAAATATTTTTACAATTAAATTTTGATATTACAATAAAAAAAGTATTTGAGATTAATAAATTTTGTGTACGTGTTCAGATATAGATATATGTTCAGCCACTGGTACATTTACCTTACAGTTGCGAGAAGTGCTTGGCAGGAAACAAGAGATACAATATTATTCCCAAATAATCCTTCTCGACGCTTCTTGTTGCAGGTATAACAGTGAGATCGAAGGAATTTATAGATTACGAGACTCTACAGTGGTCTGCACAAAGTGTAATTTGCGTATCATTATCGACACTGTACAGCCTGATGTGAAATACTGTAAATGTAGTGGAGTCCAGTCTCCCGCCGCTTCTAATGAAGACTGTAGGTTTTTCTTTTATCAAATATTAAACATTGGACGTGTCCAAGCTGACAAAAGTGAAAGCAGTTAGCCAGTTCACTGAACTGATTGAATACAATTGGTTCTTATAAATTCAATTAACCGCATTCAATTGCTCGGCGAGCAGGCTAGCAGCTCGTTCAGCTTGAATACGACCCATTGAAACGTTACATTTATATATTTATATCTGCTTTTGTGTTATATATAATATACAAAATATGTACAGCAGGTGGCTGGCAACCTTTTATCGAGCGTCAGGATATGTTAATATGGAGGAAAATAGAGCCTGGTTCCGGTGGATTATTTGCTTATAAAGTTTACGGTACATTCTCCGATGTTACTGCCGAAGATTTTCTGCAAGTACAAATCGACGTAGATTATAGAAAGCAATGGGATCCGACTGCTCAAGAGTTACAGATTATTGAGACTGATCCAAAGTCCGAATCATCTGTTAATCGTAGTACTGATGTTATCCATTGGGAAATGATCTGGCCTGTAGGTGTAATATATATTTTTTGGACGAATTTTTTCAATTGATGATTCAATAATTCGTTAATTTGCATTTGTGCAGAAATTATTTTCTAACAGAGATTACGTGTATCAACGACGATGGGTCATGGATGGAGAGAAGGGACTTGTAGTCATTGTCAGTCGAGTGACGGAACATCCGAATATACCAGAAAGGCGGGGAATTTATAGGTATATTAAAGAATTTAATATAATTAATTTAATATAATATTCAAGAGTTCATATTAAAATATATGCATACGAAAAATCATTAAATCAATTTATCTCAACTATTTCTGTTATATTTTGTTAATAATAATTTATATTTTGAAACGATTTATTTTAATATTACTTTAACTGAGCATTTGACCTTTTAGAATTAAATGTTCAAAATAAGAGAAAAATTCTCATTTTCTTTTTTGTCAAATTAAATAATTAATAATTATGTAATATTGAACTATGTTAATGTCAATGAATAATTAATAATTTAATGTCTATGTAACAGAGTCAAGACATATTGGTCATACATGGTGATAAAGCCGTATACCGAATTTCACGAGCCAGGCATTGAGTTTGGGCTTACTTACTTTGATGATCCTGGAGTCGCTGTACCATCTGCTGTCACTGCTTGGGTAGCACTGAGAGGTTTGGCGCAATTATAAAATAAATTATAAAATTCTTTTTAATGCATTTGTAATAACAATAATTATAACAATTTACCTTAGGTTTACCAGACTTTCTAATTCGCATGAGAGAGGCCTCAAAGAAATACCAAAAATATAAACTGATGAAGAAAAATGCACCTGACGGTCTCACTTTATCTGAAGAGGACGTTTCCAAGGAGCAAATCGAAGTAGAAGATAAGTTAAAAAACGATAAGACATTGACGAAAGATCATAAAGATCAACAGGACGATTCTACTAATGATTCTACTAACAAGTTGGATCTAACACATGGTGTACAGCAAGAAGATGACTTGGCGGAAAGTGAAAATAAGGATGCCACTACTGCACCCAAAGAACAGCAAGGTTTACTACATTATTTCTATCTTACGAAATTATTTGCATTTTTGGATCTTTGACAAATAGATTTAATGAAGTAACTTTTGGCTAGTAGATGTTTTAACATGATTTCGCGCATGGAGGAAACAATAATCCGCCAGTAAAACTATAAAACAGATTCATGGATGACATAGTGGAACAAGTGATATTTTATTAACGTATATTGGATGATATGATTTCATAGACAATAAGAATGAAATTGTGTGAATATAACAACTATTCAACTTTTTTTTTTAATGGTATGGTTTCCATTTTTTATAAAAAGGAGAAACAAAAATACTAAGCAAGAAGTGAGACTGATTAGGTATGTCCATCGCCTTTAGTCCATTTATTCATCAAAAATTTGCATTATTATGTGTCGTAATGAACAAAGAGCAAGCAGAATGTATTCTGATTTTTAAGATTGTTGAAACGTAATATGTTGAGAGCTACTTAAATTTGAAAATTTATGTAGCAAAAAAATATTTGTACAAAGCAAATTGAATTTATTATATCTCTACATAGTATGAGACATATAAGAGATATTTGTATAATGTATATAATTATGCAGGGTACAACTAAAAGTTAAGCTAAACTTTAGGGGCACAGTTTTCACATCTTGAAGATGAAAAACTTTTCTTTTAGCTATTGCTAAATATTAAACATATGCCTATTTGACTTTAAGTACAAAAAATATACACTAATTGAGCTAAAAGAAAAAAACTTTTAATGAGCAGTTCAATCAGAAGAATATGTACAAGATGTACTAAAAGATAAAACAAGACATCTTGTGTGCGCCACGAAAAACCTAATAGGTACGAATATTAATAGACTCTCAATATATACAGTTTTATTTTATAAATTTATTTATAATTGTAGTAAAACATTCCTAAATTTTGTTTATTAATCAATATTAAGGGGATCCTGGAGGGATAACCGAATTCTATATGACATTGTCAGTTTAACGACGATTTATGTATATATATTTATAGATATTAATGTAGTAACGTGTAGTAATGTGTTTGTGTTTACTACCATATCAATATCGCTTACATACATCGTAAAAAATTTTCGTATATAGGTTTCGCGAAAATTAGATATCTAAATCTAATTCTAAGAATTTAATATAGTTTCTTCATATAATCTATTAAATTAACCATCGTTTTAAGTACAAATTACAGAGTTTTTATATCAAGCACATGTCATGACTTGACGGCTCTAAACTCACGCCGGCCATATAGTGCTAAGAAATGATAAAGTCTGAATTACAAAAATTTTTTTCGTTTTCGGTATAAACTCCGGGCACCCGACATTAATGCATATACTTTAATTCTGGAACAGGAATTCCAAATCTATTAAAGTAATATGTTAAATTTATTAAAGAAAACCCTATACAAAAATTATTGCATTTAATCGGTAAAACAGACATATCTCCAGGATAATGATCCCTTTAATAACGTTAATTAATACATTGAATGATACATCACTGCATGTAACATAAATCTATTTGTCAAATCATAGACATTTATGAAAAAATTGTTGAAATATGACGTTGCAGTATGGAAGAATAATGATACATTCGCATAATGGTGCAAGACACAAAATTACGCTTAGATTTTGCATGTACAGTCCATTGGATTCATCTAATTTGTTGTTGGTTTATATAACTTATTCAATATCCTTTAGGCGATGGTGTTCAAATCTCATGTCATTAAGTATAATGTATATCTGTGGAGAATTTCTTTGTGCGAAGAATTTTCTCTGTGAACAGAACTGCCAGTAACTTTTAAGTATGAACAGTAAAAGACAGCCTTATGAGATGGAAATGCAGATAAAATTTGTGAATTACAGAAATTTAAGCAAATCTTCTCAATAAATGTATTTTTATCAACAGTATTAAAACTTCTCAATGACACGAAATTTTACCTATCACTATCTAAGAGATATTGGATAAGTTCCAGTGTTAAATGTATATTAACTTTTAGAGGATGGAAGAGAATTCAGGCCCGGTTTCACAAATGATAGATTAACTTTAATTTCGGTTTAACTTACTGTTTATCTGTTTCCAATTCTTAGATTAGAAAAAAATAAAGTGAATTGAACTTCGGTTAAATCGACTTAACCATGAAACCAAGTTTTAATTTTAATACTTACAGTTTTTCCTTGAGTAAGATTTATTATATTCATTATATTCCTAGCTTAAAAATGTAACAGTTTCAGATTCACTATAGTGACTTCTCGTCCTGTAAAGATTAATACATTCTAATGTACTATATCAAATGTTATTTTAATGATATATATTGAATTAAAAAATATATTAATTTAAATATACTGAATGCCTATGCGAGCCGATACAGGTGTTAATAATTTTTATTGTTACGATATCCAACCACATACAAACTGCGCACCTCCCACTTGAAAGAGGATTCTTATAGATGCATATTAGCATCAAAAGATATTAAATTGCTCTTCAATTTAATTCGTTACAAGTGGATTCCGACTTCATGTAAGAACTGTGTTTCAAGACCGACAAAAATTATGGCGCGCAGTTTGTGATTGGATATTGTAACAATAACAATTATTACACACCCGTATCGGCTCGCATAGGCATTATTTTAGTATATTTGATTTAATCTTACGAACCTAATTCCTTCAAATTAAATTTATATTAATTTAATTAATGTTATTAATCTTGATTAATAAATTTTAAGAATGTTTACTACAATTATAAATAAATTTATGGAACAAAACTGTACTGATAATATTACATTCGTAATTATATTGAATTTTTCGTGGCGCACAAGATGTCTTGTTTTATCTTTTAGTGCACCCTGTACATCTTTTGACTATCTGATTGTGAATCGCTCACACAATACTACAGTTCACTAGATGCATCTAGAGACATTCATATTATTGAAATATTTGTGCATTCTAAAGTCCATTAAAGTGTTGCAACCCTTTTGTGACCAATTGTACATGTATCAAATATGAATTTATATCAAAAAATTTCAGTGTTCTGATGTTATATTTTTTTATGTATATAATATGCAATATTAATAATATGCAATATATAAGTATACAAATATATCTTAAGTGTTTTGTATTGTATATATATGTATGCATAATGTAAATATAGATACTTTATGCGTATAATATATATATATATATATATATGTATATATTTTATATGTATAAAAATAGAGTATTGTCACACTTTTCGAAAGTGTATAAGGTATGATCATAAATCATGAATATATGAATATGAAAATTATTATAAAAGTAATAATTTTCATAGAATGTCATGTAAATAAATTATGTGTTAATCACATGATGTTAATAATAAATAATAATGTTGTTTATATCCATTTCTTGTAAATATATAACATGTTACATATCTTTTTTTTTATTACTTGTCAATGTAATAAAACTTTATGAAAGGGCATTATAGAGAGGCATGCTTAAAAAATAAATTTATTGAGAAACAATCAAAAGCGTTTATAAATATTTTTTATACAAATTATACATTTATATGCTTATAAAAGCATATTTAGTAATTTTTACATCGTCTCTGTATCTTCATCATATTGTTGCCCGGGACACAAAAGTAGATCACCTTCTACGTCCAACTTAAAAAGAATTTCTTCCGGTAAGCTTTTCGGTATAGATGAAAAATCCCAGCAGTCCGGATCGTGACATCTTTGATATATCTTTTTTGTGTTCAAATCCACAATCCAGTATACATTGTTGCTTTTATGGTGCCTGCCAATATTTTCACAGTATCTGTAAAATAATGTAAAAGTATTATGCACTGTCTTTTTACAGTAGCAAGATGTATATAAAAATAAAAACTAACAACTTTGATTACATATTACCTGTTACCGTAAACTTCGTATCTCAGTGTTTTGGTTTTATCAGAATATTTAGCAATGCGTATCTTGCCAGGATCGATGAGACTGCGAATGTGACTATCTATTTCAGGATATGGCGAGCTCTCGCCATCATTTTCATTAACAGATCGTTTTGGTATACTTGAATAAAGTTTAGCTTTCACGTCACTTCGATTAAGAAATTCGAGCAAAATTAAATTCTGCTTGTTTGGAAAGTACGATATCAAGGAATCCAGAAAGATCCCCAGTTCCTTCTCCCTGCATTTATTCACTGTATTGTGCACGCAGTCCATGGATACTGTTAGATACGATTGCTTTCCCCATTTGGTGGACAGATATATTCGAAAATGTCTGTTTTTCGTGTAGACACCATTGTCGACAAACAATTTTTCGCCGTGCTGCGTCTTCACAAGCATTTCCTCGATGTCTGCTTTGTCAAAGTGATCTAAAATTCCATGTGTCGGCGTATCCGACCTCAAGTAAAGCAGCATGTCATTGTATATAGTTTTGATAAACTTTCCGACGTGCGAATAATCCTTAAAAGCCATATCCTTCATAGTAAAAATCACGTGTCTGCTGAATTTGTTACTGGATGTAGAATCTAGTATTAAGAAGTTACTTCTATCACACAACAGGTGATAATGATTGAGTAAGTATGCCCTTATGATATCTATCAGTGTCCTGGTCATGCGTGGTCCATTGCAAAGTGGATTTAATTCGATTGGGTATTCCAAGTCCAGATATAACCAACAGGGCGAATCTTTCGGTATTATCTGTTAAATTTATAATAATTTTCTATAGGCTTATACATACATTCTTTATACATATACATTACTGAAAATGCATTAAAATATATTATTTACAACTTAATTTCTGCTACAAATGTGATTCACAATATTTAATAAAACTATATATTAAATATTTTAAAATACTTCTTGTGACTGTATATATTAATTATACATGACACAATGTAAATTTTGTATCATAAAAGCACATGTTTATATATTGAATTATGTCCTAAATTTTCTACAAATTTATGTAATTATGACCTATTTGTATTCAACAAGCAAAAACTAGAATCTTCGTGAAATTAAAAAATTGACTGATGGGAGAAAAGATTGTTTATTATTGGAAACTTATCATCCAAAGCCGACCAAAGCATACTTTCTTTTCCACATCCAAGGAAAAAACCTAAATTTCTTCTTTTTTCCATTAGTAAGTATAGACGGAATTATAGATATGCTCACCTCGTATGAACATCTCTCTTCTGGCGGTTTGACTTTGTAATACCACCAATAGACCTCCGGATGAGCGACGACGAATCTGCGACTGCCGTCGCTGGGCCGCTGGTACACGAACGTGCATAGCGTGTCGGTTTTCGTGCTGTGTTCGGAAGCCGCGGCCAGCGCGTCAGCCTGTTTGTGAAACTCCTCCCAGTATTGAGTCGGGCCCAGTATGTGCGACGGCATGACCCGGTACATTTTCACCCAGCAAACGTTGGATTTTGATGGTGATCGCTTTTGTACCTTGCCACCGTAAAATCTACTCGGGCAAATTGGTTCCATTTCGATCGACGATCAATGGACTCCGATCTAAGGGACAATTTGTCTCAATCACGGTTGTTTCATTACGATTTCAGGTGTGCGACATTGTCTTTCATGATGTAAACATATTGTACGATGATATTCGGAACAGCTGATCTAAACTAGCAGTTTCCCGCCAATTTCGCGTCAGCTGATGGTCGCTACGGTCGTTCACGATGACGACGGAGTTTTGCGCACGATGGCGGTAATTCAAAGGCGTGAAATGAAAACACAGGATTAATTATGTACATTGCAGGCACCGACGATCGAGATACTAATATTAAAGTTCCGAACAAATTTTCGTGGCCATCAAAGGGGCTCAAGGAATCCGGAGATAATTGAAGAATGCACGAGGACCGACAGCCTTACGGGAGTTAGTGTGGCTGTTTAGTAATTGCTAAAATTTAAGCAATTAGTTAATAATATAACATTAATTTTATAATTTATTAATAGATCAATATAAAATAAGAGCAATATAATTAATAAGATCAATATAATTAATAAGATTAATATAATTATAATAAGATCAATATAATTAACCCATACAGCACCGAAAGATTATAGAAACATTACATAAATTTTACATTGAAACATTGTAATATTGCATGGAAATTGCGAAATATTTCTACAATGTTATTGCAAGCTTGCAGCAACGTTGAAATGTCCGCCTTCAGAAATATTGCAATACAATGTTGCAACAACATTAAAATAGATCGGAAGAGCACA